TAGCAAATTAGACAAAACATACAGGTGCCTTTTTTAAAGATCTCATGAATGTGAAGTAATGGTATAAAAGGTCTTGTGATGAGCACTAAAATTAGTTAAATAGGCATTAAGTCTGAATAACTTGTTTACAAAACTTCAAAAACTTTAGTTATGCAAGAAAATATACAAATGCTAAGTATAAAAGATTACATATAAAATTTGGATGGGAGAATAGAATTGTCAGATAAAATGCTGTTGTTTAAATTTCAGGTATGCATGAATAATTTTTTAGTATAAGTATGTTCCAAATATTGGGTGGGAGTTATACTAAGAAATTTTTGTTTATATGAAATTCAAATTTACCTAGGCATCCTGTGTTTCTATTGGCTAAATCCAGCACCAGTGGGGAAAGGGCTGCAAAAGGAAGTGTGCTACATTTCTGATTTTTTTTTCCAAACCTCACCCAAGGAGTGGGGGGGGGGGGGGGGGATCAATTTTTTTCCTTTTTCTTTTTTTTTAGAGAGCGAGTTGGAGAGTGTGGGGAGGGGGAAAGAGAGAGAAACATTGATGTGAGAGAGAGACATCAATTGGTTGCCTCCCGTATGTGCCCCCACCAGGGTGGGGATTGAACCTGCAACCCAGTTACTGCCCTTGACCAGGAATCCATCTGTTCAACTGATCAATATTGATTTATTAATATAAAAGTCTAAAGTTCAGTAGGCAAACATAAAGGAGTGTCTACAATATGTCTTTATAAATTAAAATGAACTATAAACCCAATTGGTGTGGGTAAAAATACGAAAGTCAATAGTTTTTTAAACTCTTGCAATAATCAGATGGACAGATCACAAAGGATTTCCTATGCCAAGCATAAAAAATTTTGTTGGTCATGGAGAAGCATCAATGAAACTTAAATGAAGGAGCAACACTATTATTCTAAAAAATGACTTTAACAACCCTGTGGAGACTGAATATGTTGGAGAGTGAGGGGAAGAGAATGAACAAGAATGGACATTACCAAACCATTGGAGTAGACAACTGTGATACCAATGAGTTTTGATAGTAGGAGGCAGTTTCCTTTTTCCAATTGTTTGTTTTATTTTCCCCTTTATTAGGGTGCTCACCAGAGTAAATTTGGTAAATATATTCACTAAAAAAACCGAGGTTAAAAGTGGTATGAAAAGCCACTGGAGGGTTTTAAGTGACACGATCTAACTTTAAATTTTAAAAGGCTCGCTCTGAATGCTATGTTAATAATTGACTGAAGGTAGAGGCTAGGAATAAAGTAGGGATTCTAATGAGGAGGTACTACAGTGATGCCTAAGAGGTGTTTTACATAGCGTTAACAGTGGAGATGAGAAAAATCAAATTTTGAGTATAGTTTTTGTGTATGCTGACTATATAAGAAGGTAGTTTTAAAACTGGATTTTAGATAGTATTTGATTTTATTATTTTTAATCACCCAAGGACATGCTTATTGATCTAGAGCAGTGGTTCTCAACCTTCTGGCCCTTTAAATATAGTTCCTCATGTTGTGACCCAACCATAAAATTATTTTCATTGCTACTTCATAACTGTAATGTTGCTACTGTTATGAATCATAATGTAAATATCTGATATGCAGGATGGTCTTAGGCGACCCCTGTGAAAGGGTCGTTCGACCGCCAAAGGGGTCGTGACCCACAGGTTGAGAACCGCTGATCTAGAGAGAAGGGAAGGGAGGGAAAGAAGGAGAGAGCGACATCTATAGGCCGCCTTCCTGCACATGCCTTAACTGACCAGGGACCGAACCTACAACCTAGGTATGTGCCCTGACTGGAAATTGAACCCACCACCTTTCAATGCACGGGATGACACTCCAACCAACTGAGCCACACTGGCCAAGGCTTAGATAGTATTTTAATATATAAAAAGAGGGCCAAAACAGTTTACAGGCCAGAGAAATTGCTTATAGCTGACAAAAGGAAAAAATTGGTAGAGCACAGTGTTTTAGGGACAGTGAAATCAGTCTGTCCAGATTAATGATTTAATGTTGGGGTTTGAGCTACTCTACAAGGTCTAGGGTTTTTTCATCTGGATAACATAAAGCTGAGATTATGCCATGGGATGGATCAAGCCCAACTTTGAGGAGGAGTCAGGGGAGACTTTTCCATAGGGAGTAGATCTAATCTTAGTGCAGAATAAATTGAAATAAGGGGGTTGGGGGTAGAGATGGGTAAAAGTGAACAAAATATGCAGTTTTAGGAATAACTACAGCATATATTAGTATCAGAGACCAGATATCTTTGGTTTTACCTTCCAGAGGGCAAAAGCTCCCTTTTGCTTTCCTGTTGTCTCCCAGCAAGGCACACACCAACCAGTACTCACCTTAGACTGTCAGGAAACTAGTGAATATACCCGTAGTTTTTGCTAGTTTGTGTTGTTTATGAAATAATTGCTTTGGTCAGGTTAGTATCTGCTATACTTAGTAAGACTGCATTCATATGCAAAAACACAGACACTCATACAGATCCAGATTTTTCAGAGTATTTATTACCACAGGATTTTTGAATAAAAATATCCATAGTTTGTATTTATCTTTGAATAGGTCTACAAGAGTTGTTACCGTTCTTTTCTAGTTAAAGGGTAGGAAAAGTAGAGATAAGACTCCTTTTGAAAAAAAATTTCAAAGCATTTCACAATTGAAAATATATCAACCTAAATGGTGGGGGTAGGATGGAATCTATTCCCGTTTAAAAGTGTTTGCTATATTTATGATGAGTTCTGGTGCTGAGATTTCTTTCACAGAATCATGTTTGACTCTTAGAAAACCTACTGAGTATGCACTGTTGGGGAATCTTTCATCCTTAAAACTATAATTTATTTCATTGATGCTTTGGAGGGTTAGTTGCTTAGCCAGCCTACTGCTTCTTTGGTAGACTGTAATAATTGATTGCTATGATTTTTGAGCATTTATTAGGAGCCACTTTGTTAAATCATTAAGCTCCAATAATAATATTAAAACCATACATTTGCATTTAATTTGCAATTCTTATACTTAAGAAATAAGTGCTATATTATCTCATTTGAACTGTACAATAAAAATGTACGCCAAGTATCCCTATTCTCAGATGAAATATTAGAGTCTCAAGTTAAATAACTAGTTATAGGACAAATTATTGGCAAGTCCAGGATTAAAATCTAGAAGTCTGATTTGCCATATATCTTAAGATTCTTTAAGTAGATGTAGGTGTTTTATAAGAAGCATTTTCATAAAAAAAAAAGAAAATAAAAATATTTTTCTTTTCTCAGTTTTGCTCCTTAGCCACCAAACTCATTGTCATATATACTTAGAGATATCGCTTACATTTTCCTCACTAGAGTGGTACTTACAAAATAAACTTTATAATCAATTTGTGAAATAATGTTCTCAATGAAATATTTGATTAGAATTTTTTTATAGTTTAATGTGGGAGGATTCAACATCTCCACAATAGCCTTTTTATCTAGAAACTAGTGGCCCAGTGCATGAATTCATGCACACTGACAGGAAATTAATTAGAGGAAATATCTTAATATCGCTATTTGCCCTTTCTCTATAGTAGAAGTGTCAGAGATGAAAGAAAATTAGTAAAATGTGGATGAAAATAATATATAGATTAATAAAAAACAATTACAACATGATATAATGAATATTTTCCATGAAATTTTTACTATCAGAATCTTCATTTATCATTAATTTTTAAAAATATGCCGGGTATTCTGGAAAATGTGTATCATTTGGACAAACTTTGTCTTTGCTACAACATCGAGTAAATTTTCCATCAGATGGTTTTTCATTGGAGAAATTTAGGGATAGGCAAAATTGACATGTAACAGTCATTCCACCACTACTGTGTTCCATAATTGCACCCTCATTTACCTCATTTTCGCTATGAAGGCAGTTCCTACCTTTTAAGTGTGTACTTATATCGGTAGTACTTGTCAATGACTGTTTTTCAGACATGTTCTGTCAACATGTCGCTTTTTTTCAGCTTCAGAGGTACATTGTGCCAATAGTTGTTCTTCAGACATATTTTGTTGACAACATTGCTTTCTTTCAGCCTCAGAGGTACATTGTGGCAATAGTTGGTCTTCAAACATATTCTGTTGACAATTTCGGCTTCAGAATGTCAACAAAAATATGATGTCATTACCTGGTGCCCACAGCCACTGTTTGCAGGCTGGGCTGGGCTATGGGCCGCATTTTGCACCACGGCAGCGTCGGCTGCGGTTTGGTGGGTTGTTTCTCCGAGGTGGTGGCGGGGTCTGTGTCCCACTTGAGGACACTTTATTGACCTTTAAATGTTTAGGATAAATGATAGACCTAGGGCTATGGATGTCCTCCAGCCTAGATCCCAAAGAGTACTTTTAAAAAAATTCATATCTTAAAAAAATACATGTAGATTAACAACAATACATCCACCTCCTATTGCAGTTGATTACCCTTTTCCAACTGTAGTCCCCACTGAGCACCAGGGCAGCCAAAGATATTAATTGGGGTGGAGTAATTGGCTGTCACTGTGATCTTTGCCATTACTTCAGAGAGTTCAGTCCTTAGAAATGTCCTTCTGTATTCTCATGATCACCTGGTTACTTGTGACCTTCATATTAAGAACTGAAAGTTTGAGGTTTACTAAATTTATCAACTCCAAGGATATTGCTTGGCTTCTCCCTAATATGGACTTCCTCAATAGATTAGGTCCTATTTATGAACTAGAGAAAGATGATGGTAATGAACATCAGAATAATGATAGACAAAACACTTGTATGGTGATATGTTTAATTCCAAACTCTGTGGTTTCATCTGGGAGCCAGGAAAATCTGCCTGAGATTTCTATCCAATAACAGATTTCCCTCCAATATTAATTTTGTCATTATCAATTAGAGAATAATCTCTGAAAAAGTTTCTTTTTTCCATTTGCATTTTCATAGGATTCCTTCCAGCATAAGTTCATGGATGTTGAATGAGTTCTGCACTCTGACTAAAGGCAATATTACATTTACTTGTTATAGGACTTCTTTTGAGTATGAAGTTTTTGGTGTTTAATAAGGTTTGAATTCCTGTTGAAGGTTTTCTCACACTTGTTACATTTAAATGGTTTCTCTCCGGTATGAATCATTTGATGTCGAATAAGTGAGGAGCTCCGGCTGAAGGATTTTCCACAGTTAACACATTCATAAGTATTATCTCTAGGATGGAGACTTGGATTTTTATTACTGTCTTCACTCTTACTGAAGACTGTTTCACATTTATTTCCTTTGTAGGACTTTACTTCTGGATGACCTCTTTGATGCTTACTAAGATTTGTTCGTCGGTTGAAGGATCTCCCACATTTACTACATTTATAGGGTTTCTCTCCTGTGTGAATGATCTGATGTCGAACAAGGGATGAACTCCGGCTGAAGGCTTTCCCACACTGAAAACATTCATAGCAACTCCTTGTGGTATGACTTTTTGGGTGTTGAATATCTGTACTCAGGCTCAAGGCATTCCCACATTCATTATATTCTGAATGTTGCTTTCCTAGTAAGTCAAAATTAAATTTGAAATTAGTTTTAAACTTATTGCACTTCGGGGACCCCTTGCTCATAGGAACTCCTTGTTGACTATCAAAAACTGAGTTAACTGACTTAACATCAAAGCTTTTCTTATTTTCACTATATTCAAAGTGTCCTTCCACAGTATCGATTGTCTTATGAATGAAAGCTTCTTGTGGCAAATGTATGTCCCAGTTCCTATATAACCAATCATCACTTTTCCAGGCATCTAGAGAAGGAGGTCTACTTTGGGTCAGTGTTGTCATTATCTCTCCATGGAATGATTCTGCTCCAGAAATTCTCTTTGAAACTGAATCCTGATTTTCTGAAATTATTTGTGTGTCTGAAAAGAAATAAAAATTCCACAAACTAGAAGAAAAAAAATTGCTTAATTAGGAAAGGAAGGCTAAACCATATAAGGGGATAGGCATATTTTATGCATCTTAAACACAGAATACAATGAAGTGAGGCTAGAAAAGAAGAATTACAGGACAAATAAATGAGATAAAAATATTAAAAAGAAGGTTTAGAGATCAGTAAGGCAAAGAATGGAAGAAAGAGCATTTTATAGAAATGGGATCCAAAAGATAACTGAGGGAGAAGATATAGAAAGGAAGAAACAGAGTAATTTGCCTATCAAATTAATAAAGATTTCAGGTAAAAAAAATACCTAGTGTTTGCCAGAGTGATAAAACAAAACAGAAACAGACTCAGAGAGACAAAGAACAAACTGATGGTTGCCAAATGGAAGGGGAGTTGGGGGGCTGGGTGAAAAAGGTAAAGGAAGTAAGAAGTACAATAAGTAGTTACAAAATAGTCACAAGGTTATAAAGTAAAGCATAGGGAATACAGTCAAATCATGCTATATAATAAAACCCTACTATGCAAATCAACCAAATGGTGGAATGACCTGTCGCTATGAACTGACCACCAGGGGGCAGATGCTTAACATAGGAGCTGCCCCCTGGTGGTCAGTGCTCCCACAGGGGGAGCGCCGCTCAGCCAGAAGCCAGGCTCACGGCTGGTGAGTGCAGCAGCGGTGGCGGGAGCCTTAATGGCAGCACTAAGGAGCAGTGAGCTGAGTGGTAGGGAGCAGCAAGCAGGCGGGCGGTAAGGAGCAAGGGGTTCTGGACTGCAAGAGGGCACAGGCTGGGCTGAGGCTGGGCTGAGGCTCCCCTCCCCCCCCAGTGCACGAATTTTGTGAACCAGGCCTCTAGTATTGTAATAATTATGTATGGTGCCAGGTGGGTACTAGACATATTGGGGTATCAATTCTTAAATTATATAAATGTCTAATCACTATGCTGTACACCTGAAACTAATATAAAATAATATTGATGTGAATAAAATGCATCTTTGGACATCTCCCTAAATACACACACACACACACACAAACACACACCACTTCTTTGGTGCTGAAGTTCCTCTTCTAATAAGGTATACTACAGAACTCAACACATAAGCCTGAAAAATTGGCAATAACCTAAATGTCCAATAGTTGTGGTGGCAGGGAGGAATGGTTGAATATACCGATACATGTATGTGATGGAATGTTATATGTGAATTAGAAACCAATTTTTGTATTTAGTGAAATAGGCAATTGTGCATGATATCATATTAGGTAGGAAGAGCATAATATATATAATGACATATTCCTGATAACCCCAATTTTGGAAAAAGGAAATTGTCACAAGCCACAAAAATACATTAACATAAAGAAAATGGCTCAAGAAAAAAAAAAACCCCCCACAAATGTTAATACTACATAGCTCTGGGTAGTGAGATAATGAGGTGAGTTATATCCCTCATTATAGAAAAGTATATTCTATACTTACTAAAATATATATACAATAATTTATAACCTCTCTAAACCAAAATGTTAATAAGAATAAATTATGATGAGGGTAGGGACTTAAGGCACAAGTTAAGGAGTTATATAGTTAAAGAAAGGAAAAGAAATGGAAGAATACTGAAGCCACTCTAGGATAAAGCAGAGTTTTCTGTTTTCTTAAAAAAAAGAGAGAGAAAAAAGAATACCATTTAATGAGATGATGGTGAACATTCATTTATATAGCATTTACCAAGTGTCAGGCACTGCTCTAAGTATGTTACACATATGAATACATTTCATCCTCACAGTAAAGTGGAAGTAGACACTGTTATTCACTCTCTGTTACAGATTAGGAAACTGGCAGATAGGCCACACAGTTTTAAGTTCTAACGCATAACACAATTTTGCCTGTCCACATAAGAAAAAGAATCTGTGAACAAAAAGCAGTGATGACTTTTTTCTTCAAAGTTTAGGTGGTTTTGTCATCACCTCCCCAACTATCAACCAAAGGCTGGGTTGTACAATGGTAAGTTGAACAAAGAGAAGCTTTTTACAAATGCCTCATATCTGCCTGCTTCTTACCAAGTATGGCTGTTCTTGGGATTTCTTGCTCCATTATCCATCCTTTTATCTTACTCTCCAACTTGGGGACCTCAACTGGTTTGGAAAATTGAAGCTCTGTTATGAGAAAAATGAAAACAACACAATAAACAAACATACATGACACTCCAGACCGTTTTAGAGGAAAAAGAATTTCATCCCACCATAGTGTTCTAAGAGCTGTTGAAAGATTAGGCCAGAATCATCACACACCTGTGTATTTCTAAAACTCTACATCAGAAAGGACTTTTACACACATACAGCAAGAAAATCTGCTGTTGTGCCAAAGAATATTAGGAAATCTGAACCTAATCCCAAATGCCCTTAATCACTTCAGCAGTCCTATAATTTTATCAGTAGATGAAGAGATTATTAATGAGCAGATTAGGTAAGTACATAGAAGCCACCTTTACGCAATGAACTGAGGTTCCTATAGTTCTCCAGCATCACATCCCTGTACAGGTTCTTTACAGCAGAGTCCAATTGTCCCCACTCTTCCGCACTGAATTCCACAACCACATCTTTGAATGTCACTGGTTCCTAAAACATTAAGTTCCTTTTTAATCAAAGATCACTCCAAAATTATTACTAGAGGAGAAACAAATTTGGAAAGAACATGGGAGGTAGCCAGAATATACAAGAAATTGATAGGTCAATGTTTGGAGTTCTAAAGGATAAAATCATGTTATATTAGGGGCCTATCAACTTGGAACTCTGTGAGGGCCGCAAAAGGAAAATTAATTCGATTAGCTTATGTTTTGCTGGAAGAGAAAAAAACAGTTGGGATAACTGTGGAACAAAAATTATTATAGAGTATAAATAATTTACACAAAAGGAGTTCAGAGCACAAAGAGGTGAAGGTAGATTTGAGGGAAATTTGTAATGAAGATGTAGGTTTCAATAGCAGAAGAGGTAGGGCATTTTCTCTAATTGAGAAACCCAGCCTGCTAACCTCAGTTCTCACAGCCTACTGTTAGCTTGTCGGACAGGCCTTTCCTGATTACCCAAAGTAGACATTCTCTTAATCAGTCTCTACTGCATTATATTTCTTTCTTTTCTTTGTAATTATTATTCCTGCCTGCAATTATCCTTTTAAAAAATATGTTTTTATTGATTTTAGAGAGAGGAAGGGAGAAGAGGGGGAGAGAGAGAGGGAAAGGGAGAAGGGGAGAGAGACATCAAAATGAGAGAGAAACATGGGTGGGCCACTTCTTGTATGTACCCAGGCAGGGGAACCAACCAGCAACTTGGGTATGTGCCCTGACCGATGCTCAACCAACTAAGCCACACCAGCCAGGGCTGCAATTAGCTTATTTGCTTGTGTTTGCCTGTCTGCTTTGACTAGAAATATAATCTCCACAAAGCCAGGGTTTTGTTTCATTTACTGTCATAAAAAAGTGTGGCATATTAGGCACTGTGTAAACAGTTTTTTCTTTAAGATTTTTTTATTGATTTTTAGAAAGAGAGGAAGGGAGAGAGTGAAACATCAATTGGCTGCCAGGGATCGAGCCCACAACCCAGGTATGTGCCCTGACTTAGAATCAAACTGGCAACCTTTGGAGCATGGGATGACATCCAGCAACTGAGTCACACTGGCCAGGGCTGCATTAAACCTTTCTTAAAAGGGCCCTCTTACCATCAACAGTTGTCGAATTTCTCTCGGCATTCTCAACCTTATCATTGTTGGCACCTCCAGTCACACTCAAATATACAAATCCTTTCCCTTCCCCTATTTCAGAGCCTGTCTTTGTGAATAAGTTGTCTACCTTCGTTTTGCTTGCTTCGTCAACTTCTCTGCAACCTGGCTTTTATGCTCATGCATCTTAGTATCTCCATGATGATAAATGAACAGACACTAAGACATTACTCAGGCTGGATTTTCCTAAACTTTAAAGAATTTCTTCTTGAAATATTCTCATCCTTTGCTTTCAGTGACAACATTGTCCTGGTTTTTCTCTACTACTTTGTTTCATTTCAGTATCCATTGAGGTTTCTTCTCCTGACGATTCGTGACATTGGCTCCCTTCACTTTTAATTCTGAACATTCTCTAGATGGGCTCTATTTTAATAGCTTCAATTATTGTTTACAGTTTTGAAGAAATAAATGCACAGAGAACATACAAAGATCATATTTTTCAAAAAGTGTATCGCCAACTAAAATAGGTCCAATGTCCTGAGGAAGAACAAGTCTCGTGTCCTTAGATTAAACTATGTTTGACAAAAGTTCAAAGGTCAAGAAAAAAAAATCAGCTCATTTCAGTAAAGAGTGGAATCCTAATTCACCTGGGATTTGCCTGTTAGTGAGTCTGCTTCCATTTTCTCCTTCTTGATACTCACCTTCCGGAGAAGGGCAGAATCCTTGCAGGGTATATCTGAAGAAGATGAAGAAAAACATTAGGGAGACAAGCTATGCTTTGGAGAAAAGTTTAATGATTACAGCAGTGATTATAACATGCTACCCATAGGAATCAGCTTTAAAGAAGTTAGAAAAAATAATGATGCAAAGCTCTACAAACAATCAGAATCTCCAAGGGTGGAGCCTAGATCTTATATTTTTAAAAAGCTCTAAATGTGATTCTGAAATTCCACCAGGGATTGAGAACTACTGGATCAGAGGAAAAGGAGCCAAAATAACATTTGAGGCCTCATAGTGTTAAAAGATAAAATAGTACAAATCATATTCTTAAAATTACTTAAGAAAATAACTATAATGGATTCTCCTTCCAATTTTGTTTTTCTTCTTTATAACAGGAAAATATGCTGTCCCTTCCCTCCAGGGCAACTATTCCACATCCAGTTTTCTATATTCTCACCTTTGTCTTCAATTACATCTTC